TGACGCACCGCTTTTCAGTTCCACGGGTCCCCAGCTAAAGGGTATTAGACGCGGTGGATGGATGCGGTGCCGGGAGTGGCAGAGCAGGCGTCTCCTCATCAAATTCCAGTGTTCCCCAGCTAAAAGCGGGGTGGAAATGGGTGAGCAGGAGTCGGTGCCTAGAAAAGCTCAGGTCTGCCAATGGTGGTGAGCGGCTCTTCGGCTGGATAGCCTGCTAATAGCGGGTGGCCATGTAACGCCCCGATCAGACAAGGCAGTCTCCAATTCAGGCGGTCATGGCCGTGTAGGGTCGGTAAGCAGTGCTCCTTGCCCATGTTTGGGTCTCATTTTGTGCTCCCTTGTCTTTATTTTTCTTTCCCTGGTGCTAGTGGGTGCCAGGAGCGCAATGCTGCACTCCAGGCTGCTGCTTCCGGGTCCGGGGCAGTCTCCACCGTACTGCGCATGTGCGAGTTGGCCTCGAGGCCAACGAGGCTTCATGCATGCGCAGTACTGCATCCCGGGGTCCGACTCATGTGCCACAGCATTGGCGGCAAATTTAAACAGTTATCAGAGCTGTTTTCTTTGGGAAATCCTGTACACTGATGGGGCAGCTTCCCCAAGTGCTGTGGTCCACTGTAAAGATCAGTACCTGTCCCTCCTGCCCCCCCCCCCCCCCCCCCCGGTGGTCTGCTAGGATTTTGCATGTCATTTTTTTTTTTTTTTTACAGCTTGATTGCCTTTGCAGCTGACCCAGCATGGATGTGTCACCGCCTCCTTGTGGCCAGCCCCTGCACAGTAGGTACATACGGATGGCTTTAGCCCCTTGATCCCCCACTGGTGCTTTTCTGTGGCTTTTAACTATCCCTCATTCTGTGTTTTTTTTCTTTCTCTCTCTCAGCCCTTCTAGGGTTGATCTCCACTATACATCGCATATTGACGGAAGTGCATCCAGGTCTCAGCACCATCATTCATCCTCCAAATCTGGACGCCACAAGTTTCTTTCCAGCTCCAAGCGTCATCGGAGAAGTTCTCGCTCCTCCTCCAGGCATCACGTTAAGGGGCACTCCAGCTTCTCCAATAGGAAAACTTATATAGGAAAATTTGCTGGGGGAGCTATTCTCAGGTTCCTGACGGCAGGTCATTATGTGACTCCTGTTTTGCAAGGGTGACCTGCGAGAGAAAAAGTGCCAACTAACAGTAAGAAGCTTTGGTCAGATGGGTCGTTCAAGAGTCCCTGAGAGAAATTGGAACTAGTCACGCCTGCAGCCCATCGGTCGGGGTGTGCTCCCCTCCCAAAGATCCCAAGAGGGATTGGAGCTTTCACAACCTAGCCACCGGTCAGCCAGGGCTTCAATTTCGCCTTGTTCTTGCTCCTAGTCAAAGCGGTCAAAGAGGTCCTGAAGTGGGAAGAAGCCATGGAGTCTCCACTTAAACACAGGAAATTCTTTAAACATCTAAGGAAGGATCATCCAAACTTTCCATTCCTGGAGGAACTTGGGGACATTTTCAGTGATGCAATGTCGACAAGAGGGTCTCCTTGCTGAACAAAGCAGCCATGCTTTATCCGTTCAAGTCAGAGGACATCAAACATCTAGAATCAGCCCCTCTGGTGGATGCGGCCTTGATGAGACTAGCCAAACACATTACCCTCCCTTTTGAAGATTTGGTATCCTTCAAGGACAACCTTGAAAGGAGAATCGATTCCTATCTCAAGCGAATCTACACTACGGCGTGGATGGCTTGCAAGCCGTCACTTGCCTTAGCAGTCTTGCCTAAAGCTATGGAAGTGTGGTCGGATAACGTGGAATGGCGTCTGCTAGGCCAGAAGAGGGCTCAGCCCAGAAGTCAAGGCTTTGAACAAGCTAAGGATACACGCCTCTACAAGCCAGGCCGGGAATTCAAGAGAAGCTGGAGGAGAAGCCGATCATCTTTTCACAAATCTTCCAAAGGGCTCAACCTCTGGAGGTTGTGAGGCCACAAAGTCCTTTTGAGATTGGGCCCACTCAGGCAGGTGAGGTGGGTGCATGCCTTCACCACTTTCGGCATGTCTGAGCAGCTTCAATCCGGGACGCCTGGGCCGTCAACATGGTATCTTTACAGCATGCTTGAAGAATTTCATGGCTTGTACTCGCCCTTCTTTTTGGTCCAGAAAAGAAACGGGGCCTGGAGGCCGGTTATATAGATTTCACCCATGTAAATTAATTTATCCGGATGGAAACACTGTTCACAATTCAACAAACAATTCAGCCAGGTGATTGACTCCTGTCTATAGATCTGAAGGACACCTACTTGTATGTGCCTATTGCAAGAGATTTTCAGAGATTCCTCCAGTTTGCTGTGGACCATCGGCATCTACAATTCGTGTGTCTCCCCTTTAGGCTTTCGACGTTGCCTCGAGTGTTTTCAAAAGTCTTGTTGGCGGTCGTGGCCCTGATCAGAACCAGAGGCATTTGCCTGCACCACTACCTAGACGACATGCTCCTACTATGCCAGGACAGAGTACAGCTACTACAGCACAGGGCCCACGTCATCTTGACCCTTCTCGAGTTCGGGTGGTTGCTGAATTTGGAGAAGTGCCATTTGGAGCCCACGCAGTCTTTAATATTCCTCGGGGCTCATTTCGACACGATCAGCGCCACCATCTCCCTGCCCGTGGAGAAGATTCCGCTGATCCTGGAGCTGAATACTACCTGCCCTGTCTCACACCTTTGGGCCCTCCAATGCCTGAAGATCAATCAATAAAAAGTGCAGCACTGAAAATGCTTATAATGAGAAATATTGTCACCAATAAATATTGTCGCCAGTAAAATAAATATTATTATATAACTTATAAATCCAAGTGAATGTGTTGCATCATCAGGCGCCAGATAACAACGTGATAATATCAATAGTCTGTAAATCAGAAGCGCAGGCTTGACGCGGTCAGGTGAGCAAATTAGTGCTCAATGCACATATAATCATTTGTGACTTCCGGTAAAAATCCGTGTGATTCAATCCGTGTGATACTGTATAAAATGCGCACTCACCAGATGCACATAAAGTATGCGCATTAAGTAGAATATGACTCTGTAGGGATCCCCTTTAGGTAGATCTATCAGCCAGCCTGGAACAAGGATCCCTCCTCTGGACACAAGCCTCCTCTGCAGCCACGCTTCCTCTGGGGATCTCTGTGATATTTAGCTCAGATCATTAATAAAGGGTGTTGCCTTCTTCACATATGCAGCAAAAAATATGTTGTCCTTTTAATCGGCAATCTGACTTACTGAGGAACTTGCATGATAAGTGGTCAGTACAAATGGAATGTTCTTCTGGCAGTTACCTGGCAAATGGAAACAGGTCCAGGCATATGTTTTGCTGTATATGTGAAGAAAGCAACACCCTTGGTGACAAAATTTCTCATTATAAGCATTTTCAGCACTGCACTTTTTAATGATTGTTTTTCACTGGGTTTTAGGGCTCCTAAGTTGGTGCATATGCAGCTGGTTATAATAATAATAATAATTTTTATGTGTTTATCTATTAATTTACTCTGATTTTAGTGCTCGCTGTATCCTTGCTATTTTAATGCCTGAAGATCATTGGCACCATGGTGCCCACAGTGCCGATAGTGAAGTGGGCACAGTGGCGAATGCGACCCTGTCAGGGCTCCCGGGTATGACCAGAGGTGTGTGACTGACGCAGGGAAACGCAGGCTTCAGATATGTTATAAACAATTTATTAACACTAACCATACAAACATAAACGCAGTGCAATACTAAAAAAACATAACACAGTGCAAACAAACCAAACCACCCACAGATAACAGTACATACAATGCAAGCGTCGTCAGGCAGGCCGGGTCAATATCAGTCGGGCAGGTAGGTACAGGGGGAGCAAGCGGAGAATGGTCGGGGTCACAGGCCAGGTTCAGCAGGTAGCGGGCAGCGTGGTACAGAGGGTCAGGCAGAGGAGAATGGTCAGACAAGCCAGGGATCAGAGCAGGGTCAGCAGAGAATCAGACAGGAACAGAGAGCAGGAACAGGATACAGGGCCCAAGAGAAACACAACACCAAGGCAGAGTCTGCAGGTCTGAATGTCCCTTAAATACACCAGTATAATTAGTTCCAGGTGTTTGACTGGCTGCAAGGTTGAGTCTCTGATTGCTGGGAGCACCCGCTGGCCAGCCCTGGTACTGCAGCTCATAAGGCAGCTGAGTCCCACTATTGCTGGCCAGTCCATTCCTGACAGTACCCCCCCCCTCAAAGAGCGGCCTCAGGACGCTCCAAACAGTCCTAGCTGGGCAAAATGTTCCACCGCCCGGGTCTGGTAACTGGCGGGATATCAAAGACTGGCACACCGGGCAGGACTCCGGGCAGCGGCACACCGGGCAGAGGCACATCGGGCAGGACTCCGGGCAGAGGCACATCGGGCTGGACTCCGGGCAGAGGCACATCGGGCTGGACTCCGGGCAGAGGCACATCGGGCAGGACTCCGGGCAGAGGCACATCGGGCTGGACTCCGGGCAGAGGCACATCGGGCACTCCGGGCAGAGGACACCGGGCAGAGGCACATCGGGCTGGACTCCGGGCAGAGGCACATCGGGCTGGACTCCGGGCAGAGGCACATCGGGCTGGACTCCGGGCAGAGGCACATCGGGCTGGACTCCGGGCAGAGGCACATCGGGCAGGACTCCGGGCAGAGGCACATCGGGCTGGACTCCGGGCAGAGGCACATCGGGCAGAGGCACACCGGGCAGAGGCACATCGGGCTGGACTCCGGGCAGAGGCACATCGGGCAGGACTCCGGGCAGAGGCACATCGGGCTGGACTCCGGGCAGAGGCACATCGGGCTGGACTCCGGGCAGAGGCACATCGGGCAGGACTCCGGGCAGAGGCACATCGGGCTGGACTCCGGGCAGAGGCGGGCATCGGGCAGGGCTCATCGGGCGGGCGGGCAGAGGCACATCGGATTACCAGGCGAAGCAGCAGGCAACGGGCCACCAGGCGGAGCAGCAGGCACCGGGCCCCCAGGCGGGGCAGCAGGCATCGGGCCCCCAGGCGGAGCGGCGGGCGCCGGGCCCCCAGGAGGGGCGACAGGCATCGGGCCCCCAGGCGGGGCGACAGGCGTCGGGCCCCCAGGCGGGGCGACAGGCGTCGGGCCCCCAGGCGGGGCGACAGGCTCGGGCCCCCAGGCGGGGCGACAGGCATCGGGCCCCCAGGCGGGGCGACAGGCATCGGGCCCCCAGGCGGGGCGACAGGCATCGGGCCCCCAGGCGGGGCGACAGGCATCGGGCCCCCAGGCGGGGCGACAGGCGCCGGCCCCCCAGGCGGGGCGACAGGCTCGGGACCCCCAGGCGGGGCGACAGGCGCCGGACCCCCAGGCGGAGCGACAGGTCTCGGGCCCTCAGGCGGAGCGGGGGCGCCGGACCCCCAGGTGGAGCGACAGGTCTCGGGCCCCCAGGCGGAGCGGCGGACGCCGGACCCCCAGGTGGAGCGACAGGCCCTCTCGGGGCCGGACCCCCAGGCGGAGCGACAGGTCTCGGGCCCTCAGGCGGAGCGGCGGGCGCCGGACCCCCAGATGGAGCGACAGGTCTCGGGCCCTCAGGCGGAGCGGCGGGCGCCGGACCCCCAGGTGGAGCGACAGGTCTCGGGCCCTCAGGCGGAGCGGCGGGCGCCGGACCCCCAGGTGGAGCGACAGGTCTCGGGCCCTCAGGCGGAGCGGCGGGCGCCGGACCCCCAGGTGGAACGACAGGTCTCGGGCCCTCAGGCGGAGCGGCGGGCGCCGGACCCCCAGGTGGAGCGACAGGTCTCGGGCCCCCAGGCGAAGCGGCGGGCACCGAGTCACCAGGCACGACAGTGGGCTCCGAGTCAACTGGCATGACCGCTGGCACTGGGTCAGACATTGGATCGTCTGGCTGGACAGCGGGCATCGGGTCACCAGGCATCAGGTCATTTGGCATCGACAGACAGGGCACCGCGTCATCTGGCAAGGCAGTGGGCTCCGAGTCAACTGGCATGACCGCGGGCACTGGGGCAGACATTGAATCGTCTGGCTGGACAGCGGGCATCGGGTCACCAGGCATCAGGTCATTTGGCTCGACAGCGGGCACCGCGTCATCTGGCAAGGCAGTGGGCTCCGAGTCAACAGGCACGACAGTGGGCACCGGGTCATCAGGTACCGGATTGTCTGGCTCGACAGCGGGCATCGGGTCACCAGGTATGACAGCGGGCACTGGGTCACCAGGCATCAGGTCATTTGGCTTGCCAGCGGGCACCGCGTCATCTGGCAAGGCAGTGGGCACCGGGTCACCAGGCATTGGATCGTCTGGCTCGACAGCGGGCATCGGGTCACCAGGTAGGACAGCGGGCACTGGGTCACCAGGCATCAGGTCATTTGGCTTGCCAGCGGGCACCGCGTCATCTGGCAAGGCAGTGGGCACCGGATCAGGTACCGGATCATCTGGATCAACAGCGGGCATCGAGTCAACTGGCCTAATAGGATCGTCAGGCTGGATCAGTTCATCATGCTGGGTAGAGGCATCAGGCTGAATGCCGGCGTCCGGCTGAGTAGAGGCTTCAGGCCGAGTAGAGGCTTCAGGCCGAGTAGAGGCATCAGGCCGAGTAGAGGCTTCAGGCGAGTAGAGGGCTTCAGGCCGAGTAGAGGCTTCAGGCCGAGTAGAGGCTTCCGAGTAGAGGCATCAGGCCGAGTAGAGGCTTCAGGCATCAGGCCGAGTAGAGGCATCAGGCCGAGTAGAGGCTTCAGGCCGAGTAGAGGCATCAGGCGAGTAGAGGCATCAGGCCGAGTAGAGGCTTCAGGCTGAGAGAGGCATCAGGCTGCGTACAGGCATCAGGCCGAGTAGAGGCATCAGGCTGAGTACAGGCATCAGGCTGAGTACAGGCATCAGGCTGAGTAGAGGATTCAGGCTGAACCACGGAAGGCAGGTTCACCGGTTTGGATACTGGCAGGATGGTATTGGTTGGAAAGAATTTTCGCTTTTTTCTGGTTTTAACTACTGGAGCACTGCAAGTAAATGCAGGTCTGCAAACGAATGGAGCAGCTGGAGACAGAGAAGAACTGGAGGATGGAACAGGAGAGGGAGCAGTTGCTACAGAGGGCTTTTTTACAGGGTTAAAGGCAGGATAGGTGCAGCAGCGAGTGGGAACAGGGGACTGACATGCGGTAGATAGCAGGGCAGGAGGAGCTGTTGGGAATGCAGGAATAGAGTTTTGAGGAAATAGATTAGAAGCAGGACTGGGTTTTTGTAAGCTGACTGAGGCTGGGTGCAACAAACCTGTCCATTGTCTGCAGTATGGGTTGAACAAAGCTGAGCTTACACAAAGCCTGTCTGACCAAAGACTGCACTGCGTTTATACAATCTCTTAGTACCTGTGGTGAACATGTGGAATAACGCTCCAGAAAGTAAATCCACATCATCCTCTAATAACCATACCAGGGACTCTACCTGGTCTGCACTAAATGGTGGCAAAAATTCATCCCTGCATTCGGGGGGTACCAGATGAAACCAACTCAGCACAAACCTCAATCAAAGGCTGCACCTCAGAGAACTCTGTGCCCTGATCTACTAGAACATGAGCGAGCCGTATACATTCTAGCAGTTCATCCCGGGTATACTCCTTCAGAGTTTGATAAGCATACTCCCTGTCATCAAACACTAGCAGATATAAATACGCAACCTCATCCAGATCCATCCTTCCCAGCAACAAACCAAGATGGCTTCCCTGTGCAGCCACTTCTGGTCAGGATTGGCCTTGGTGTAATGTCAGGGCTCCCGGGTATGACCAGAGGTGTGTGACTGACGCAGGGAAACGCAGGCTTCAGATATGTTATAAACAATTTATTAACACTAACCATACAAACATAAACGCAGTGCAATACTAAAACATAACACAGTGCAAACAAACAAACCAAACCACCCACAGATAACAGTACATACAATGCAAGCGTCGTCAGGCAGGCCGGGTCAATATCAGTCGGGCAGGTAGGTACAGGGGGAGCAAGCGGAGAATGGTCGGGGTCAAAGGCCAGGTTCAGCAGGTAGCGGGCAGCGTGGTACAGAAGGTCAGGCAGAGGAGAATGGTCAGAGAAGCCAGGGATCAGAGCAGGGTCAGCAGAGAATCAGACAGGAACAGAGAGCAGGAACAGGATACAGGGCCCAAGAGAAACACAACACCAAGGCAGAGTCTGCAGGTCTGAATGTCCCTTAAATACACCAGTATAATTAGTTCCAGGTGTTTGACTGGCTGCAAGGTTGAGTCTCTGATTGCTGGGAGCACCCGCTGGCCAGCCCTGGTACTGCAGCTCATAAGGCAGCTGAGTCCCACTATTGCTGGCCAGTCCATTCCTGACAGACCCTTCCATAAGGGTTTCCTTCAACAGTAGATCCCAGGCAGCACGGGCCAGGTCATTTACATATCACCCTCCATGAAGGAGTGCCTTCCTTGGTGACTGCAGCGGAAGAACCTGCTCAGTTGCCATTCGATTTCCCTCATCTTCTGTGTCAGGATCACTACGGATGCCAGCAACTCCGGATGGGGTGCTCTCTGCAAGTGAGAGATAGCTCAGGCCAGATGTAGCTTTCCCTCCCACAGATTGGGGTTGAACATCCTGGAATTATGAGCGGCATTCTGTGCCCTACAGGCCTTTCAGTACCTAACACAGGGGAAATCAGTCCTCCTGAGGTCCAAGAATATGACGGCAGTGTCCTACATAAAGAGACAAGGAGAGACCCACAGCCTGTCCCTCTTGCAAGAGATAGAGCCCATCATGGCTTGTGCTCAGAGAGACCTGTCCAACACATCCGCAGTATTTGTCTCCGGAGTCTAGAACTCACAAGCAGACTTCCTTTCCAGGATTCAATTTAACAACAACGAGTGGTCTCTCAACACAGTGGTTTTCAAGTGAATACCGACCCTCGAGATCAGTCCGGAAGTCCACCTGTTTGCCTCCCCATGCAACAGCAAACTGGGGATGTTCTACACCAGGAATCGTTGTCCCCAGGCCTTTTGGGTAGATGCTCTGCTGGATCAGTGGGGGTTTCGCATGGCCTATGCATTTCCCCTGGTCTTCAGGTTTCTTCGGAGGATCAGAGCAGAAGCGGTGAAGGTAGTGGCTGTTATTCCATACTGGCCGAACAGACCATGATTTCCCTTACTGGCGCAGCTTAGTTTTCGGGATCCAGTTTCTCTCCCTCTCAGGCCAGACCTGCTGTCGCAGGGGGCCATTATTCACCCTTGCCCAGCCCGGCTCCATCTAATGGTCTGATTCTTAAGAGGGGAGGTTGGAGGCCTTGGGCTGTCCTGCTGAAGTCATCCCTACCCTGATGAATGCCAGAGGACCAAGTACCAACAGGGTCTATGGAAGAGTCTGATCTAATTTCGTAGACTATATCTCGATTGTGGATGGATCCTTTAGTAATCCAAGGGTTCAGGATGTCCTGGGATTCCTGCAATCAGACCTGGACCTGCCCCTGTTGGTCAGCACCCTCAGGGTTCAAGTGTCAGTCTTCAATGGAGTCAATGAATCTCTGGTTCAGCAATTCTTCAAAGGGGACAGTAAGGCTGAGGCTCCAAAGGAAACCGAGGTTTCCAAAATGGAACCTGCCACTTGTCCTTGACTTCTCTGGAGGCGTGCCAGAATCAGCTGGGCCTCCCATAGTGAGGGAGATCTCCATCAAGGCGGACTTTCTAGTGGCAGTTACATCAGCAAAAAGAGTCTGCAAAATCGGGAACCTTGGCTGTAAAGAGTAATTTTTGACATTCTTCCCGGATCGAGTGGTCCTCATCCCTATGCTAGGTTCTAATCCTAAAGTGATCTCGGTCTTCCACGAGAACCAAGAGATTGTCCTACCAACATTTCGAGCCTCGGGAGTCAATGATGCTCCCCCCCTGGACGTAGGTGAGACCTTAAAACTATACTTGCGGGTCACAGTATCCTTCCGCAAGTCGGGCCGTCTGTTCATCCTTTTCCATGGGAAGAATAAAGGAGACCGGGCATTTCCCAAGTCAATCGTGGCCTGGATCATCAAGGCCATCCAAATGGCCTACAGAGCTAAGGACTTGGCAGTTCTGGAGGCGGTGATCGAACACTCAACCAGAAGTGCGGCTACATCCTGGGCGGCTTCCCGACATGTCGTCCCTGAGATGATCTGCAGTGGCCCCATGGTTCTCAATCAACAATTTTATGGCTCATCACTGTGTATAGCCGGTCTCCTTATCCTCTGTTAATTTTGGCTTGAAAGTCCTGTTGGTTGAAGAGGCAAATTAAAGTCTTTGTTTGAGTATCTGCCCACCCGTGTGTGTATGGCTAGTTATTTTCCATACATATGCTGCCATGGAGTCTGTCAGGAAAATGGAAAATTTCCTATCAAATACTTACCATAATTTTCCTTTCCTGATGGACTCCATGGCAGCAGGAGTACCGTCCCAATGCCTTCAGTAGGCTAGTTATGAAACACAGCCTCTGGCAAGGAGCAAAGGTTAATGGGAGTGGGGTCCTATAGGAGAAGAGAGGGTGGGACTAACCCATACGTATGCTGCCATGGAGTCCATCAGGAAAATAAAATTACGGTACTTATTTGACAGGAAATTTTCCGTTTCCCTGTTCCCAGCCTGTGATTGGACAGTGAAGGAAAAGAAGTAGACTGAGTAGCTCATCTCTCTATCACTCTTCTGTCTCATATCACCACGTTCCTTGTTTGCACTAACAAATACTGCAAAACAGTCGGTTGGCTCCTTGTGCTACTTCTCCCTCTCTCCAGGAAGTGTGACCATTTAATTCCTGGAATGCCCCTGGCATAGCACTATGGTTGTGAGTCATACAGCCATTTGCATTTGAGAGTGTTCTGATGTGTTCTAACTCGCACTTGCCTGGGTCACAGACCAGTTGGCTCAGTCTTTATGGAGTAGTAGAAGAAACAACACATATGGGTGTGTTGTGCTGTTGG